CCACATTCTGTGAGTTCATCTTTCTTTGGAATGGGCATAAGGTACAGAACTCTCCAGACAGTTGCTAAATTCCTGGCACAGACAAGCGAGCGCTTGTAGCATTGCATCTGTTTGTTGAAACAGATCTCGACTGACATTCTGTCAGTCTCTGAAGGCTTGCTTTTCACTGATGCCCTCAATGCAGCTTGTACTTCTTTTAACGCCATTGGTTCTTCACTATATGCTAGCTCCTGAAACAGTCGAAAGTCCACCAATTCCTTTCTGTAAAATGACTGTGTAGTCTTTCTATTGTCTTTCGATGCTCCTGCATAGGTCAATAATTAATCCACCAAATCCTTCACTACTGTAACTAGGCTGTAAACGGTGCCGTCAGGTCTCTCAGCTTGAGGGATGCTGGGAGTGTTCTTCCACCTTCTGGTTTTCTCATTTCAGGGTGCTGTATACGTCATTACAACTATTCTTAAACTTTCTGTTCAGCTCTTTTACTTCATTTCTTCTATGCAATTTTCAGAGTCTCTTCTGACATCCATTGGGCTCTTTCTTTCCTATCTTTTTAATGACGTTTGGCTTGCTTCATGTCATCCGCAACTCGTCTGCTATATGGTTGTAAGTGTTCACTTGAGACGGGCTCTAAATTCAGGGGACATATACTCAATTATGGATACCACTGGGAAGAGTGAGAATTCCAGGACACTTCACTGTACTATGCAGAAGCTGCACACCATCTAAGAGACAATTATTGCGTTTTCTTCATTTTTTGCTCTCTATTCTTGAGAGTGCATAACCTTTACCAGTCTGTCTTTAAACTCAGTGCTTATTTATCTTCCTGTTCAAACCTCTAAGTAGGCACTAGGAGGCACAGGGCAGCCTTGGTACCCCCAAGCTAACAGAGCCATGCCTGCGGGTGGGAGTTGGGAGGTACGCCCCATGCTCTTGGCCAGCTCATTGGGAATGGTATCTCTGTAACATGGATCTGGTAAAAATAAGAGGCAGTGGCTGGCACCAAACAAATGAAACTTTAGCCTGGAGCTGCAGGGGTAGGAGGTGGAGGTGGGGGTGGGCGGTCCTATGATCTTGGGATACAGCTGGAAAAAGCACAGAAGCTGACACAGGCAGAAGCTAGTATGTGAAGGCTCAAGTATCACAGCCTCTTTCTGTTCTTGCTGAGAAAGAACGCCGATGAAAAACACTGAAATAAGTTCCCTCAAAGTAAATATAGATGAAGGACTACGATTCACCTCTAGTTTTTTCAGACTAGCTAAGGGCCCTTTGGATTTCTTTTCTGAAGCATCTCCCTTCAGTAAACACACTCTTTCTGTTAAAAAACAAAAACAAAAAAGATTTACTGTTTTGGCACGCTCTCCAATGGGGGAAAACCAGTCTTTTGTGGTTTCAGCCAGGGGCAACTCTGTCCCCAGGGCACTTGGCAAGGCCTGGAGATAGCACAGATTGTCACAGGCAGGGTAGGAGCTGGGTTGGTACCTGTATCTTGGAGGGAAAGGCCAAGAAAGCTGATCAAACCTGGCATATGTTAAAGGTTGGCGTCATACATTGGGAAGAGCTACGCTACCTTGGGCTGAAACACAGCCCATCATTCACTAACTGGTACTCCCTGTCAGGTGACGCTCCTCAGTTCAGGCTCTCCAGCAGCACTGCCGTACAGGTGAGGAGAGTGTAAGGAAAGGGATCGGTAAGTGATGCCTCCTGGGAACTCCATGCAGGGTAGCTGAGGACTTCCCACGTGCGAACACCTCACAGAGCGCAGTGGCCCTTACTCGGGCTCTCAATGAGAGGTGCTCAGTGAGCAGCACAGGCCGAGCCGCCCGCCCACCACTCTCCCTTTGACTCCGGTAGATGCACAGTGAGCGCCCGGCAGTGTTCATCTGACCCTTTCTCCGCAAAAATGCCAAATGATGTTTTTGATAAATGGCCGGCCAATTCAGCTTTCTCTCACCACAGCTAGCAGCAACTCAGCGCTGACAATGTGTGCTAACTCTGCAATCCCTTTGTAAGCACCATGTCCAGTCCCCCACGAGCCTGCAGCCACCTTCGTGAGGCACCCTTAGCTCGAGCCACAACGGTAGCTTCCAATCACCCATGAAACGCAACCATGGAGGCCGGGTCTCCGTGTCCTCAGGAGATCTTCGTCTGATGATAGGAACAAAGGGTGTCCATCGGTACTTGATCAGGAATTAACAAGAGAAACACTTTGAGCAAGCTGGTTTGTTTCAACTACCAAAAGAAGTTACAAGAGAATTTCCAGGGTGAGTTATCTTGAAGTTAAGCTCTTTTTGAAAAGACTGACTTTTCCTCTTAAATGGGATTGTATGTGAGTGTGTTCATCATCTACAAGGGGCCTGGAATGGACTGATTCTTGGTTCGGAAACCCTTCGGGGCTCCCATGCTCATCTTTCCTGACTCATGGAGTCTGCTGTGCCCTACCCCTCCTGAGCGGTCCGAGCTGACAGTCTGTGGCTCTGAAAGTGCACCAAGTGTCTTCTCTAGATTTCTCTGGGGGGAAGCAGCTTCATGTTGCAATGGTTTGGACCAAGGGGGCATGGCCTATTACTCACCAGGCAAGCCGGTGACCACTGCTCACTTCCCAGGAAGTGATGTGATTTAGAGAGGTGGTATGAACTGTGGCAAAGTACAAAGCACAGCAGACGTGACTTCTCCTGAAAGAACGATATCACATCATTTCTCAAGAGCAAGCACTAGCTACAAGTGAGGCCAGTCAGGGTTCAGCAAAAATGAATTATTAAATTGGTCTGCTTATATCCTATTACAGGCTTCTTATGAATACTTGATTTTAGTTTGTATAATTGACAAGAGTTGACAGGAAAGGATGGGTTTAATGACAATCAAATTGAGATCAGCCAGTATATGTGTCACACTGGAGGACCTGCACCGGTGGTGAAGAAGTAATTGATGGGGCTCGGTGAGCCAGAGCACACAGGGCTGTCATATGTCCTAATAAGTGACCCTGTAATAGGAGCCATCTGCCTACAGTGGCCCACACATCCAATAGCCCTGAAAGACAGTTGAGGCCCAACAAAAGAAAAATAGACGTTGACTTTGCATATCTAATGCCAGATCGTTTGCCATTAAACTTCATTTTTAAATCATTTATATGACTTAATGGTTCTGCATGAAATTTTCATGTGGGTAGCAAGATGTGCAGCAGCACAGAGTCCACGACGTGGCCAAGCCCCACAGCGCCATGAGCCTGGCCCTTGCACCAACAAGGGAGTGGGAGCTGGGGTGCAGCAGCATGTCCCCAACATTTGGACCACACGGTCATTACTTAGGAGACCAGTGCAAGCGACACTGGCATTTATAGGAGACAGATGGCAACAGCTCGGCAGCGTTCACGTCTCAGGGCCTTAAAGAACCGTGTTCACTCAAGAGACATTTGATCTGAATTAAGAAACTGATGAAGCCATTGATTGATTGGAATTCAAACCATCAGTCACTAGACCCTTCAGCAGCTTCATTTACATTCTGAACACACACTGACCACCAAGGGAATGCCCTGTATGAACAGCCAGCGCGAGGCCACCGGGCGGCTGGAGGCCAGCACTGACAGGCTCCAGCTGTCCACGTCCCTTCTGAGCACGCGGTGTGTCCTAAGGACAACAATGGCTGAGCTGAAGATCTTTCTTGTAACCAGCACTGTGCCTTATAAGGACTAACTGCACTGAATGAAACAAGGTTCCTGCCGTCCATGGACACAGCAGATCTGAACAGCTGTGGGGTTTGGAGAGCCAGGCAGTTGGACAAAGAGAAGGAAACAGTATCACACACCAATGTGCCCACAGGGAGTTTGTACTTTTGGGCACTGGGCGGACTCAGACGGAGCTGTCTCAGCGTGCACCATCTCGATGTCCAAGAGGCAGCTTCCACTTCAGCCATTTCCATCCTACTCACTCACTGTCCTCCCTCCTCAGTAAAATGGACTGGCTGCTCTACTCTCACCACACCCCATCACATCCCACCACATCTACACACCATCCAAACCCTCTTTCCACCTATATCACCCACTCTACACCACCACACACTACCCATACCACTCTCCATCAGGGTCAGCACTTCTACTCAAGCCCGCCACATGTCCCCTGACCCCCCAGCAGGTTGGTCTTGTCTCTTCACTTTTCTCAGCTTCCCAAACGCATGTCCTTGTCCCCGGAGAAGACTGCCCATGCATCCTGCTGCCATGCTGTGGTGGGGGCCTGAGGGACCACAAGTCCACCCAGAACACAGTCACCCCCTCCACCAGAGAGAGAGGGTCCTGAGTCCCCCTCCAAACCCAGACACCCTAAGTCCAGCCAGTCTAGTGAAGTGCACACTGCCCCCAGGAGGAACGAGGCATGTGCTGGCCTGTCCTAGTCATCTGCTGCAGACCGTGCAGCCACAGAGGCAGAAAGGAGAAGGGGGGGTCCAGAGCAGGGACACCAGGTGAGAGGATCCACATGCAGGGACAGATCTGACCAGCCATGACACACAATGGAACTCCAGGTCAGCAAAGCACACTGGCTGGCTGGCCCATGGGAATGGCATACCCCACCAATCTCTGGGCATGGGGCAAAGAGCCAAGTCCGTCACTGAGCCAGCTGTCCAAACACCGAGCTTCCTATGAGAACCATTCTCACACAGGGAGGCAGCCCTGTCCATGCCCTCCCTGGTCTGCCCACCACAGGCAGACCTCAGGCCTTCTCCAGGTGGCCACTCGGGACACTTCCTGCTGTGTCTATACGTGACCAATGGTAAACAGAGGTCTGACAAACTGGTGCAAAAATTCCAACACCATCAACCTAACTCAAAACAAATAAACTCGCTGACATCAACCTGATAGACATAAGCAAAGCGTAGTTCTGAAATTAACTCAATGTAGTGCCATTCGGAGGAAGTTTTACATATGCAAGTTTTACTTTTGCCTTCCAAAATGAAATTTAAATTGCCCAAATTCCAATTAATCAATCACCAAAATTAAAAAAAGATACCTGCTTTTTCTGAAGTCCTAAGAAATACCATGTCCGATGGAATTCTCTGGTTCTGCAAAAGATACACGATACATAGTAATACAATTCCATCCCAAAGCAGAATTAGTAAAAACATAATAATGATATAGTAACATAATATGCTAAGGTATCATAATGAAAACTTGTGCTGAAGTAATCTGCATGCATAAGCCACAAACCAAAACAGACTATTCCCTGTATTTTTCAGTTGCACCTGTAAGATTTTCCCATTAGTGCCCGTGTCAGCATCATTTACGCATGGCCTACCATCAGCTCCATGGGCCTGTGTGTCCTGATCAGACGGCATGAGCCCAGAAACTGCTGTCGACACCCTCTCTACCTCCAGGCACACACAAAGCACAAGCAGGAGTGGGTGCCCTGCGTGAGGCAGGTGTGTCAAGGCCACCTTGGAAGGTGGTCCCAACTTGCAGGAGAGATGCCCGTGACCCCCCCACCCAGACTGATTCTGCGAAGTAGGCCCACCTTTCAAGATGCAATACAGGTTTATAGACACATGATGAAGGGGGCTCTAGAAGGTCCATGGGAAAGCTCCATGATCTGGTCATTCCTTTTTTCTACAAACTTGCTACAGGACGACGCCCTCATCCTTTACCCAAAGTGAGGAGGGCCACAGAAGACCTAAAGGACTGTGGTAGTCTGGGTACTTTAGAGGAACAAATCCACAGAAACTCATGTATAAGAGAGTTTTATATAAAGGTTAAGTGCGCATCAAGAAAACATCCCAACCCAGTGCTGCCCAAGCCCACAAGTCCAACATTAACCCATAAGTTCAACACCAGTCCACAAAGTCCTCCTCCATCTCACAGAACAGAAGCAATGATGCCGACTGCAGGAGGAAAGCCGAGTCAGTGAATGTGCAAACATCTCAGCGCTGGCAGGGGTCTCCACACAGGTGCTCCAGCACCCAGGGCTGCATCGGGGTAGGTCCATGTGGCTTCTCCTCAGGGATGTCTTGCAGGAAGTGAGCCTTGCCAGTTAAAGCAGGGAACTGGCTAAAGCAGCTTCACCCTGGTCCGACCATCAGAAAGCAAGAGACCCGAGAACTAGAAAGGCAAGGCTCACCGAGTCATTTATCCCTCCGCCCTTCAAGTGAACCCCACATGTGTTTATCAGCCAGGTTGGCACAATGAACCAACTAGCTCAAGGTCCCTTGGGGAATGAAAAGAGTCATAATGAACAACAAAAAATATTTTCAACTGAATGCTAATAAAACCCAAGACATCAGAATGTGGGACACAGAGCCAATGCCATGGACGAGGTGGGACAAGCTCCATAGAGCAGTGGTCAGCTCATCCTCTAGGGCTGCTCATGAGAGCTGGCCTTTGTCGTGGACTTGGCTGGACTGAATTCTGATGGGGTGTTTTCTGCATGTTTCTGCACTTGACCTCCTGTAGGGCACCATTTCTTCCAAGGCCCGTTCTTCCCACTCCAGCTAGAGATCTCCTGAGGAGAAGCCGTAAAGCTCCTGGGCAATAGGGACCCACAGGAGGCCCAGCTGCAGTTGTTACTCCAGCTGTTGGCTGTGTCCCTGAGTTCCCAGTGCTGTTGCTGCAGGCACCCCTGAGGAGTCTATGGGGGTGCACCTGGACCAAGATGTGCAAAGCTGCCCAAGAACTCCAGGGGGCTGAGAATCTGCCCAAGTCCCTGAGGCAAGCTCTCAGCCCTCCCTGTCCTTGCCCACAAGACTAAGTTGGCTGCAGTGTGGCTCTGCTGTCTCCCATGTGTCGATGTAACTGTGCCCTCACACAGCAGCTGTGAGCCTCCCTGCTGTTAGGGGCCGTCCACCCAGTTCTGATTCACAGCACCCGAGTCCAACAGAATGAAACACTGCGCGTGTCCAAAGTACATGGGATGAAGTCTCACCACCACTGCTTATCCAGTTATCATCTCTAACTGAATCCAGAGTCAAAGTCTTCAGGCAGCGCCGCACACTGAGAAGGTTTTTGTTGTACCGGGAATTCACATTTGGGAATACCAAAACCCGGCCACCAAACCACCAGCACCACAGGGGCACCAACCAGGATCAAGCCCGGCACCAAGCTGGCACAGCTTCCTGCCATCTTTCTTTAGATTGCCCTGTTACCTGAAAATGGAAAGACACATAAGCCGATCCAACGAGAGCCTTCCTGAACCCTCCCGCCAGGGAGAGCAGGAGCTATGGTAGCTCCCAGCAGTGTCCCTCGACCTGGGAGCCCCTGGGCTCCCCGACCCAAGGGACTTGTGGCATATCCAACGTGGTATTGACCCTGCCTCTTTCTGGGGAAAGAACAGAAAGCAGGGCACAGCAGGCGTGTGAGGCTTTAGTTATTCTCTCTCTCTGGCAGCATTTACTTGACAAGATAGGTATCCCCCTCTAAAAAGAAGCTAGAGTTTTAAGTGAAAACTTGTATTTCTACTCATATGAACTTGTGTGAACAGGGAGATTTATGAAACCTTCGTTTTCGTTGCTTTCATCTGTGCGTGAGTCCTACTCCTGATGTCCAGTGTGGCATTTCGGGTGTGATGTTCACAGTCCCCTGCTCAGCGGAGGTTGTGCCGACAGCAGAGCAGGACAGAAGGCAGCGAGCTGTGGACCGTAGAGGCCGAGCCCAGGACCTGCTCCTGGAGATTCCGAGCAAGGCACAGCATGGTGTCCTTGGGAAGGGACGAGAGGGCAGGAATGCTAGAATTACAGGGCCTTTTAGGAGAGGAGCTGCCAAAGGTGCAGGGTCAGGGAGGGCTGAGGAGGCCAACCCTGGGGCAGCACATTCACTCTTGCCTCCTGCTGCTAGTCCTGCGTCTTCATCTTGCAGCGCATGCCTGCTCCTCCCTCTCCCAAACCAAACTCACTGGCAGTGAATCGCTGCCGAGTCACAGCAAGCCGTACTCTTTACGGAATAGAAAGCCCATCTCTCTCCCTCACCCCAGCAACCACTATGCAACTGGGGCTCCTTCCTTTTTCTCTGACTTAGTGCATACTTGTTAAATGACACTGCCTCAAAAACCAAGACCAGGAAAGTGCCCCTCCTCCCCAACCTGATGCAGGTCTGACCAGGGATTCATTGCCAGCAGGCCCATCTTCACCTGTTCCCGTCACCATCCAGGAAACCACATGGTGACAAGGCATCGGCCTGCTATCACCGGTTCCAAGTAGCCCTGAAAGCATGGGTACACCAGAGATGGACTCTGTTCTGTGAAGGCCACTGTCCCCTCTGAGTTGGTTCCTGGCAACCGTTGGGGTTCCTGGTCAGGCAAGAGCAGCTCTCTGCAGCCACTTTCTTCTCCCAGAGCACAAGCACAGAGGGGCACTGGGACCTCTGCCTTGGGGTGGGTTTTTCCTGAGACAAATCATCTGTGAGTCCACTTCTCGTTTCATGATAACCTTGAAGAATCCAGAATATGGCCATATTATTGGAATCACCGTTGCTATGTGGTTTTAGTCTCTTACTGCCTTTTTTTTTTAAACAAAGGACAGCTTCTTTGGAAAAACTGAAAAATAATGAACTGTTACAAATTGTTTCTTTACAGAGTCAAGTCCTTAATATTCGCCCTAAATTAGGAAAGCTAAAACCCAACGGTTCCCAGCTGAGACGCACTTACCACAAAAACATTAAGCATGTAGAAAGAAGTTAATTAACTTACAGGAAGTGGCCTCAGAATAATTCAGTGGCACAGCACTAGTACCAAAATGAAGTATGCAAATGGGACGACAGGCAAATGGGAGGAAGGCCGGCCTCAGGCGCCGGTCTGTGCGGTGCAGCATCATCAGGGTACCTGCCCCTCGCCCGCCATGAGACCTCAACAGGACCAGGGAATTCGAGAGGCTCCAGTGAGCCCTCTGCACTCGCTTGCTTAATAAGCTCCCCTCTGGCTGGTGACACAGGAGAAGAAAGACCCAGGGCCTGAGCCCCTTCCACGTGCTTAGCCAACCTGCAGTGGGTCACTCCTCCAAAGGCCAGCTCGCAATCTCAGCCGAGAGGGCCACACTCCCACAGCTGCCAACACCTTCTCCTAAGGGGCTGTTTGGGTGAAGGCCGCCTCACGCACGCCTCCTCCATCCTCGCACGTCAATTTGAAGAGATATAACAAAAATCACCAGAGCTCGTGAAACAATACACCAAGCACCTGCCCCAGAGCGGCCCTGTCTCCATCACTGTGTCTCTCCAGTATGTCAGAGGGGCTCTGACCGCGGACCACACTGCTGTAGAAAACTGCGATGGCCCTCTAAGTGTTCCTCGGCAAGCGCCACAGCTGGTCACTCCTCTGGGGCTGTGTCCTTGGAGCGCTGAGGATGCCCATGACACATGCGGTGGAGCCAGCCTGTCCCCACCTCCAAAAGCACACCAGATTTTTTGGGCCACACAGGTGGGACCACACCCTCTGTTCTTTGCTTCCTCAACCATCACCTGAGGCTCACAGATCGGCAGGACACCAGCACAGGCGGCAGATGTGGACACAGGTTGCCAATTTCTCCTACATGGCCTGCCCTGTGAGTGGAATTGTGCAGTCAGGGGGCACAGATGCAGACGGCCAGCCTAGCTTTCCGCCTGCACAGGGAAAAGGAGCACGAAGTGGTGGTGCCGTCACTACCCTCAGGGGCCCGATGCTTCCGTCTGTGTCCCTGATGCCAGGGCAGGGTCTCCTTCCCGGGAGGTGGACACTCAAGCCTCCTCCTTCATGAAGGACCAGGACTTATGCTCTGCCCACTCTCCTCCAGGTTACAGCACAGCAGGCAGTGAGGTGATGAGTCCTAATTCACACGGGTAACACATGGCGATCCCACGGAGTTCAGACTGTAAGTTCGCAGACTCACACACACACCACAGGAACACACCACAGGATGAACGTGTAGCAACCACCACTCAGTGCAAACCAGCACTACGTAAAAGGAAGGGTCATCTCCGTGACAGTGGCTTATGCCATGTGGTGTCAGGGGCACCTGCAGGGCAGGTGGCAGGCTGTTCGGGTGTGCTGCAGAGAATTCTCTAAGTGGGAATCACTCTAATGAATGAGGTGGATCCAAGTGATGTTCGGTGTCCAGATGGGACGTCTGTGGCCAGGGCCCTGGCTGGGCACATGCTGGGGAACCCGGCTGAAACACAGCTCATGACCTGCTCTTCCGGGCCCTTTAGAGGGACTTGTCCTTTGGAAGAAGCCAGGGTTGCTCCCAATTCAACTCACTGCCATCAAGTCGATTCTGACTCAGCGACCCAACAATAGGACAGGGCAGAACTGCTCCTGCAAGTTTCTGGGACTGCAAATCTGTACAGAGGTAGAAAGCCTCAGCTTTCTTCTGCAGTGTGGCTGGTGGCTTTGAACCACTGACCTGTGGTTAACAGCCCAAGGTGTACCCCACTATTTCATTGGGGCTCTAGAGCCTTAAGAAAGTGAAAGGGACATTGAGGAAGAGAGTGTGGTTTGTCAACCAGTCCATTCCATAGACAGGCAGCGGGCCTTGCACATAGGAGACCAGCACTGTACACTACCTGCACCTCCCTCGTAAGGCAGGCGTTCATACCATTAGGAGCGTGCAGACCATGCCGTCATGAGCCTGACCCAGTGCCGCAGCAAACACACGGCCCGCTGGGCATCTAGTCTCTCAGGAGTCCTTCCTGCAGCCACTAAACTCTCACAGGCTCTTCTGGTCCCACTCACGTGCTCCCCTAAAGTGTATGTATCAAGCATGAAGCAACAATACCCCAAAATGACATGCCACAGAGCTTCTGTGGAAAGCAAGCTCTGGAATATGACGCTGTCCAGTATAAGCAGGCTCTAATGAATGTAACTCTTGAGTCCAGTGAAATATTTCTTACATGCAAGCATAATTCTTCATTAAGAATGAACATATTTCATACTTCAAATGAAATAGGACTTTACCTCCACAGGGCAGGATATACAAAAATCGAGGTTTTTCTTCCATATATACCAAAGCTCATGCAAGAATGTTTGCATTTTAATGTCAGTTCGGACTCACAGTTCCTTGCACTTAGGCTCACTGTTAATGACTGAATGACAGGAAATGAATCACCTTTTCCACGATGATGAGGTCTCCCACTTGTATGTCTGAACTCTGAACGTGTACCTTGCCTAGGAAAAATGGAGAAGGAGAGTCAGCTGGAGGAAAAGACTCACAAGTTCAAGTTTCGACTGAAGTTGGCACTTTAGGAATTGGTGTGGGGGAAGGAGGGGAGCACACACATCAGATATGGGGAGCACATACATCAGAAATCTCTCGATTCTTCAATTCTTAAACTTTCCAAATAAACTTACCAGACACCCATGGTCATGAATAGCTTACTTCTTATAGTAAATCACCAAGTACAATAATTAAACACCCCTTTAATTAGAGAGAGACGAGAAGCCCTCTGTGTTAATAAAGCACAGTCCACTTGGGGGAGGGGGGATTCGCCACACTTTGTTTTTGTTTCAAGTGTCCATCAAATCAAGTCAGCAAAGAATGAAAAATATCATGATGGCTGAACACATAGATGGACATAAAGATCCTTTCAAATTCATAGCATGGATGGCATTGATTGGCACGCAGCTGACCAGAGAAAGGAAGCAAATCCAATAACATCACCTTCCCTAGTAGCTTTACAGACACAGCTAAGGATGGAAAATGTCTAAGCTACTTCAACTTGAGTCCTAGATTGAAGTGCAGAATCAATCATTGTTCTTAGTTTATGGTCAGGCCCACACATTCAGGAACATCAGTGGCCTTTTACTGTTGTTTCCCACAATGTCGACCAGTGGCCATCACCAGGGAGGGTAACAACCACTCCTCTGCCCACGACCCGGCTTTAGGCTCACCATTAAATTCACCTAGCCCCCATGCTCTGCAGTGCAGGAACTTAAGTACATAGTTTTTCTTCAGAGAACCAAAGCATTCCAGACCGGCTCTCAGCAACCCAGGTGCCCAGACTGTATGAAGGAAGGTCATACTTGACCAATGTCAAAGCTTCAGGGGGCAGAAATGCCTGGGTCCCTTGGTTTCAAACAGAGCAGATCACTCCACTAACTGGTCTCCATTCATAGCTCTTCCCTTGTTTGACCTGAATTCCAAATTCTAAAAAACCAAGACTGTGTCCCCATATTCCAAAGTTCCCATATTTGCCGATTACTTAGGAGATAACCCACCATTTATCACTATATACGAGTTCTTTACAAATGGCCCCAAATTGTTGTCCAGGCTCTGTCCTGAAGACCCACACGCCTTCACCTGCGGGGCCATAGCTACCAGAGCCATTTGCTTCATCAGGCAAGCTCCCTGCCCTCCCCCAGCCTCCGGAGCTGCAGATCCAGGCCAAGCTCTGGTGAGCCGTGACAGGCCACAGAGTGCCAGTCGTGACTGCATGCCCATGCAGACAGCGAGCTGAAAACGCCATAGAGCTGCCAACAGCCCTGCGGCTCCGTGCTGGGACCTGCTCTGCTGACCTGCTGCAGAACCTGGCCGGCACTTCACAGGGGCCTCAGCCACTGTGGAGCACCAAAGGAGTTTACCACCGTCTGGTGCCAATTCCTGAAAAAGGGTCAAATGTCACAGGGATTAGAGAGTACATAGCACAGTCACAACCCGCAGACACGATGGACGAAAAGGTTCTCTACTAACAGGAAGGGTGTCAATTACGTGCATCCCAACAAAATACACAGGGAGGCGCAGTCACCGCCTGTCAAAGGGTCTGGCCTCACTGGAGTGAGCGTGCTGAGCACAGAGCAGCAGCCCCACTGCAGGGAGGACAGGGACTTCTCCCGAGCTCCCTCAGTCTACAGCCCCTACTCCTAATTCCACTCAGAACAGAGAAAGGGTGGACAGGAAGGCTGAGGGGATCGTACTCCAAGTCCTCGACCCCTAGAGGCCGGAAGGGGCAAAGGTCATCCCTGTGCCAATGCGTGGCAGGTGGGGAAGAAGTCAGGTTTTACTCTGAATAAGCTCTTACCCTCAAGAAACTTACATCTGAGTGAGGTTAAGAAATACACACTAGTAGCAACAAACATTTACAGACCAGGAAATGTGTAAAAAGAAAACAAAAAGGCTAAAATCTGGGCTAAGAAGTTGTAAAGAGTGTGAAGAAAGTACTAGATTCCTTTTCTTAACACTTGTCAGCAATAACCAAAACAGTTCTTAAAACACTGTTAAGCAATAACCTAAATAAGTTAGGGCACAAACAAACACGACCAATTCTTCTTTTTTTAAATTATCCTATCAGAAAAGAATTAGCTAGCCTTAGAAAGAATATTGAAATAATGAAATATTATATCCTGGTAACAAACACTTCAAGATAAAACACGGAATGTTACTCACAGGATAAATTATATTGGGCAATCACTTCCCTTCTAAAATGCTCTCACTAGCTGGAATAGTCTCTACCATCTGTGTGATTACCAATTAAGAGTCCGAAAGCTGTCAGACGGGGCTACACACACAGGCTTTATCGTCCAGCAATGCGCCGATTTTCTGCCTGAGGCACTATGTGGGACTAAACACTGAAATAAGTGTCAATAGTAATTCACGCCATTCACCAGAGACTTCGGCAGAAAATGACAACGGTTTGGAAATCTATTCAGTAGCTCCACATTTTACACATATTTTATCAACAAACAGCAATGAAAACACTCCATGCCTGTCTCTGGTCAGCAAATGGACAGAATCTTGAATAAGACCCCCATAGGCATAAGGGCACACTCTCTGCCCCTGGCTTTCTGCAGGGGGGAAACTTTCTCAAACATCTGCCAAACTGCAAGACACAGAGCACTAGTAAGAGGAACAGCATGAGTAGCAGGCTCACAACCAGAAGAGGAGCAGCCTTGGGGCCAGTGTGGGCTAGGCACTGGGCTGTTAACGTCAAGGTCAACAGCCCAAACTCATCAGTTGCTCAGGGGAGAAGGATGAAGTTGTTCACTCCCAGGTAGAGTTACAGCCTTGGAAATCCTAAGAAGCAGTCCTACCCTGCCCTGCAGGGTCCCTGTGTTAGGATGGGCTCAATGGAGTGGATGGGTGGTACACTACACGCTGGATGTATGGCATGTGGGTGCTGGAAGGGCTATGAGCCAGCAAGCACAGCAGGGGGTGCCACTCACCCCTTCATCCTCGCCGGCTCCCCACCGCCTCTGTCAATGTGGCCCCGCCCGCCATGTCACAGATCAGGCCTCAACGGCCTGCTGCTCTGGATTCTCTGACCCAGCGAGGCCTTCCGACTTGACGCAAGCTCTCATCTGCTTCTGAACTGAAACTCTCATAAGACACTTGTGTCAGGCAGTTGAAAAATGTTAAGTTTAGATTCCATGTGTTCTAGGTTCCATGATCCAAACAAATCCACGAAAGGTAAGCATATGACTATCTCGAGGCAGTGAACCTGCAAGGCCCTCCCTCAAAAAGGAAGCTAAAAACTTAAACCTTAATTTCGTATGACTCAACTTGGTCCAAACACAGTGAGGCCAACAAGCAAGTTAATGAAAGTAAAGTGGGTTTTTTGTACATAGCATATAGTTATTCATCAATAAACATTACTTTATAGAGGCAATGCACTCTGGTGGGAAATTCAGCTAGGACAGAGGCACACCACCAGAGCAGCTGGGAGGAGATGTCCATCACAGGAAATCCTTCCTCCAAGCAAGAAGTGCAGCAAGCCTGCGTCTGTGAGCCTCTGTTCCGAGACTCCCTCTGAAAGTATTCATGCATGGAGTGAGGTCAGCACACAGAGACTCAGAAGATTCAACATGACAGACTGGATTCCTCAAGGAATAACTGCTATAGAGAGAAAGCTGCACTGGAGGATTACATATTTTCACTCAAACACCTACTGACTTTATTTTTATAAGGTAAAACAGCAAAGAACTTTAACAAGTTGCAGTGCTGATCAACGCGTCTTATGAGCAAAGTCCCCAACACTCACAGAGCAAGAGTGAGAAACAGAAAAGGAAGACCCATTCTGTAATCCAGCAGGGTTAGGGGTCAGGTTCCCACATGGGAAGTGAGAGGAAAGAGCAGAAAGACAGGAGTGTTCACTCTCACACACCTGTTACCCAAGCACACACGATCAAGGACACAGCTGCTTGGATGAAGTGCTATCAAGCCCCAGAGAACACGTGCATGTTGCAAGGCTGTGTGCGTGCCTGTGTGCTCGGCATGCTTGTGCAGGCCCTCAAACATATAAGGCAGGAATAAAAATGGGCCCGGATATGGTGACGCATTCTCGATTCTAAGGCAACCAATTGGACCCCATATGAAATCTCATACACAATTCTCAGTTACAATCAGGGCACGTGGTTAATTCCAAAGTGTTGAGTATGTTAAGCAATTGCTAAAAAGGATTAAAGATGTCTTGCTAACCTCTTACAGTAAGCTTGCTGTATAGTTGTGAATTCATTTCCTTATCTCGCTGGAATCGTCGAAATTCATCAATTGCTTCCCGCATGATAGTAACAGCCAAGACAAATCCCTACAAGCAAAAAGTACAATAAAAACTGACTTTAAGAAGGAAGACGCTTTTTATACTTTAGATTCAGTCTTTTACTTGTGTGACTCTTCAAAAATTAAACAAAAACAAAGGCAAACAATAACAATGAAACCCCAGACACACAATAAGAGCCTACAACAGCAGCACAGTCCAGGTCCCCGTTTGCTCTGCACGCTAGACACGGCCAAGGCAATCCTCTGAGCTGTACTTGGAGCACTGGGCTGTGTCATTAACATCTTCCCTTGGATCTCCAGGGAGGACATGTGCACTCGGGGTACAAAGTGACTTGGCAGAACAGAGGCTCAGGATGGCCCTTCAGCTGCAGTTTCACGGAACTGCATTTTTAAGTGAAAGTCACCATAGGTTCCTTTGATGCCGTTTCACAAACCAGTTTTCCTGAAATGGCACCAAATGAACCTATTGTGAACTTGCTACGTCAGTGTAGTGTGTAGCTCAGGCACCAGTTTTGTAAAGGCCACCCCACACAGTTTCCGACACTCAGCAGGATGAAGAACTGGGGTTCATAACACTGACGACCTTGCTGCAGCTGAGGGAGCAAGGCACACTGCACTCAGGGGGTCTTCTCCAAGACAGACCAACATCTGCTGACACAGCTCTGTGCCCCAGGCAGCCCCTGGCCAGTGTCTTCAGGGCACTCTAGTGGGTTCTGGTGTGCACGGCCCCCATACGAGACCACACACAGTACCCCCAAACTAGTGCACATGTGCACGGCCTGCACACTAGTCCACACATGGTACTCCCAAACTAGTCCACACAACTGCCTGCAAACTAAACCACACGTGGTAACCCCAAACTAGTCCCCACATGGCACCATCAATGCCTTTCTTGTCCCTCCCACCTCAGTTCTGCACTTGTCTCCACCACGCTACTGACATGCCGCCGCCCCAGGTACCCTTGCTCACCACGTCTCTCCCAGAGCCCCCATGCCCTCTGCATCCCTACATATCCAGGATGCCTTTCTCGGAGCCCTCACACGCTCCAAGCCAGCAGTTCTCAACTTGTGGGTCGAAACCCCTTTGGGGGTTGAACAATCCATTCCAGGGGTCACCTGATTCCTAACAGTAGCAAAATTACAGTTATGAAGTAGCAATGAAAATAATTTTATGGCTGGGGGGTTGTCACCATAACACAAGGAACTGTATGAAAAGGTTGCAACATTAGGCAGGTTGAGAACCACTGCTCCAAGCCCCGGAGCAGGAATCGGGAGTAGCGCTCTCCCAATGCTACCTGCTATATCACCCACCAGTTGTCAGTTTTCCTGGCAAAACCACCGCCACTCGCTCTAGTTCTCTACCTGTACCACCAAGCCTTGCTGATTTGGCTACCCAAATCTTGATCCTGGCCTGCTTGCTCCCTGCCACCTCACAAACCCTCTTTTCTTACCAGATCACTCCCAGCATCTTGGTTTTCAACCTCAGCCCCTCAAAGTTTCCTCCCAGCAGTATATACGAGGATCGGCCTGAATTTGACAGGTGGGTCACACGGCAACCCTCGGGAACAGCTGGGAGGTGCAGTGGAGCCCCATCCAGGAGGACATGCAGTTACTGAGCTGCTACTGTGCCAGGCTAGGTGACAGGCAGGCACAGCAGGAGAGAGGCCACAGCTGGAGCCCTAGTTAGAGGTTCCCAGGTGTGGTGTGGTCAGAGCTAGGAGCCCAGGGGTTGGGGGTGGTGGCACCATCCCCTCACCCAGGTTAGCAAAGGTCTGGCTGGCTAGGGTTTTCCTAGCTGTCCTCCCACCAGAAGCAACTACGAGCCTGGCTTCCTCGCTATAGCCCACTGGTTAGCATTCGTGTGAAAACCACTGAGCCCAAGGACCTGCCAACCTTCAACAGTTCCCCAGTATCTGGACTCCTCAGGATGCAGTGCGAAGCTTCCACAAGAGGAAGATGGTCAGCCTAGGTAGGCCCCCCATCCCTTTTGCCAGTTTACTCCTCACCAGGGAACCACCAATGTCCACTGGAGCCCAGGGCCTGGCCTGCATGGTACCCCCAGTGCAGGGTCCGGTCAGTGATAAGTGTGCTAAAGCAATGCTCTGGCACAGTGGGAAAGGACGCCAAGCGTGACTCCTGTGCCAACGACTGTAGTCAGCACACCTGCAGAGTGGCCAGATGGCCAGCCGACCCTCACTGAAGCCCTCCAGCTTTGGCTGACAACAGCTTTGCTGACTGACCTCACAGGCCACAAGACTTGCCCTTTAAGGAGAATAGCATGAGTTTCCAGAAAGCGCAGACATCACCCTCATCTCCTTTTAAGATTTTCTTCAACCCAGAAAGCTCCAGGCCCAGCTGTGGACTCCCCACCACACCTCAGCCTGACCACCACTATCTGATTATCTGAGGGTCAGTCTGTTGTGGTGGGCCTTTTGCCTCAGCTCTGGGGGGAAAAGTTTTTGTTTGGTCTTAGGCCACACCTGTCCTGTGACTGGATACACCTGAGCGGTTGGTCAACAGACTTTGCAAATAAAGTATATGCAATCTAAAGAGAAGTGGTCTGTTTGTGCCCAGTGGGAGTGGGCCATGCCTTAGAACAGACAGGGAGCTGTATCTAGGCAGCTGACCCAGTGGAGGGTTTTTAGACAGAAAGAAGTAAGAATGATCCGAGGAGGGAAGAGGACAAGGGAGGGGTGAGGAGAGAAAAGTTGAGTGTGTACACACACACACACACACTCGGGATATCCTAAAGGAGTTATAGCAGAGGTCAACAGCCAAAATACTGAAGACAGTGATAGGTTCAGATGGAGTCTGTCCTTAGGAAGTTGAGGTGCCCTACATGTCCCAGAGGAGCTGAGAAAGTAGTAAGATTTGGCCTCCATGCTTCCTGATTCTGCACTGTAGCCTATCAATTCTGACCCGTTGCCTCCTTAAGGGACCACATAACTACGGCCTGAGTTCCGCGTAGCCAGTGCAACAGACTATTTAGAGCATGCCATGGGCAGACAGCTGGGAAGAGAATTGGTAGACAGGTCAGAGTGGAGGTATGTCTGGCCTCCATCTCATTAAGGATTGGCATTGGGATGATCTTGGTCACTATCCCCCTGAAGGAGGGCAGATTCCAACACTATTACCTCTCCCACAATTTGACACCTGTTTTGTGCCAAACAATAATTGTTTAATCATCTGAGAACTGCCACATTGTTTTCCAAAGAGCCTGCACCATTCTTACATTCCACCAGCAATGGACGAGGGTTCTAATTTCCCCAGGCTCCTCAACCTGCTCAGTCATCCTGTGGCATGTGGCACCTCAAAAGTGCTTTTGTGTCAAAGTTCTCCAGCGACGAAGGGTGTTGAACACTTGATGGGAGTGCTTATGAGTCATCTGTCGATCTTCTTTGGAGAAAAGTATATTCAGATCCTTTGCCAGTTTAATTGGGTTACCTCTTAACAAATCCCCTTTCAGATAAATATGTACAAATAACATACCAAATAGCTTCTCCTGTTCATTTGGATCTCTTCACTTTCCCATGTGCTCTGCCATGAAGCTCAACTGACCCACTTTCTTCTGTCAAGTTGGCGTCCAGTGTCCAATGACATCAAGGTTCGTGGGTCTTCTTCCAGGAGTTTGTCTTGCTTACTTTGGATCTCCACTCATTTGGAACTAGGTTTTGCATATGACATGAGGTGTAGGTCTAATTTCATTGTTTCCTATAGAGATTAAGTTATCCCAGCTGTTAGTGGAAAATATTAAGCTGTCTTGGCATCCTTGTCAGAAGTAAGTGGATCGTGGATGGGGACTGGCCTCTCAATCTCCTTCCTCGGATGTAACCGTCTACCCTCAGGGCAGCTCCACACTCTCAACCACTGACTTTTCAAACAAGGTATGAGTCTCCAAAGTGCATTGCGTCCAAGGTCTTTTTGGTTACTCTGTGGTCACTGAACTTGCAGTCAAGTTTGTCAAGTGATCCTTGGAGAAAAGTGCCTGCTAGGATTTTGATAGTGATTTAACCAAATCAATACATCAATTTGAGGAGTCATGTCATGTAACAATATTAAATCTTCCCATCAACTGTCTACCAATTTAGATCCTTAATTCTTTTCAAAATTTTTGAGTTTTCAATATAAAATCTTGCACTTCTGTTGGTAATTTACTCCTATGCACTATGTTTCCATCACAGGGTTGCTTTCTTAATTTCATTTTCTGAAGTTCATTGCTAGCTAGTTATAAAGTTATGTGATTTTCACACTAATCTGGGATACTGCAGTCTTGCAAAACTCATTTCCCAATTCCCATACATTGTGTGTGTGAATCCATAGAATGTTCTATGCATACATCATGCCACCTGTAAGCATAGAGCAAGCTTTTCCTCTTCCCCCGTGCAGACGTTGTCCTCGCATTTGCTTGCCTGGCCTGTTCACTGCACATCCAGCCCAGAGTTGCACAGAAGCAGCCAGAGTGGACATTCTTGACCTGGTTCTCCTACTCTTGGGACACACACCCAACCTTTCACCCAGATAGAGTACCAGCTGTTACAGAGAATGCGAAAGATTTATATACGATAATCTACTGTCCCCTGCATGCATCACTGGCTGCTAGCTTGCGGATGGGGCAGAAAAGAACCCTTATCTTGAGCATACCTTCATCATTTCATTAGAAGAAAAACCAAAAAGACAGTAAATATGAAGAATCAGAGCAGCACAAAGAGGTGTGGGAAACAGATGTGTGTGTGGGAACCTCGGTCCATCAGTCTCCAGTCTAAACACGTGCCCCTTAAGGGAGAGGGAAAAACCCAAAACTGTGTGCAGTATTTATACACAAAGATATTTATTCCAGCATGGTTATGAGAAATCTAAAAGGAATGATGAGGTTTGGGAAATATAAATCCATGGTATATTCCTGTGATCAAGTAGTGTACTTCTTCCATTTTTAAAGATGTCCCTGTTCTCTGAGGATGCATCTTGGGGAAGGGCAGCAGCATCACGGTTTGGGTAGCACAGCTTGGTTTCAGTCCCGTGTATAACATGCCCTTCAAATGCAAGCAGCACGCACCTGTGCACCCCAGCAAGCGGCTACTTGCTCTTACACATCTGATTTATTAAAATCCGGTTGGTGGCTGATTCACCTTGAGACAGGAGGTGAGCACCCGCTGCCCACAGTATGGATGTGCTGTAGGCAATATTCTTAAAGGCGCAGCACTTAAACAGAGGTACAAACCACCACCACTGGAAAGATGTATTTTGCAACACAAGAATTACCGACCAGACTTGGTCCTCTGTTTACCGCGAATTCCCAGGAGGCAGATGTGACACCCACACATAGTCCCAGGGGATCTGCTATCCACAGTGCCTGACCCAGGAGGCGAATTCTGAGTTCAGGAGTCAAAGGAACCACCAGGGTATGCTACTCTTCAGGGTTTGTTTCAAAGGTCGACTGAGTCCAGGAGGACAAGTGCCCATTTCTGGGAACACTGGAGAAGGGAATGGCGAGGGAGAGGTCCAGCCCTGGTCAGAGGCAAGGACTACTGGAGCCCACTACTAGTCTGAGGCCAATTCCCCCGCCCACCCCTCATGTGAACAGGTAACTGGAGTGGGAGGACCAGCCACCACGTCTGTAGAGAAGAGCTGTTGTTATGGCTTCATCAGCAGTGAGTGCTCCATCTTCCAACAGGTATTTGGGTCCTCAGAGGAGAGGTGATGATGGATTTGGATGAGCCCCGTCTGCTGAGCTCTGAGATGAGATGAGTGGTTGATGAGGACGAATGCAGCCAGTACTAGAATGTCTAGTGAGGAGCATCAGCTGGGAGGTATAGCCAGCTTGCCTGAGTTTTAGCAAGTGCGTCATTTATGATGAATTGGGATAAGTATGTCTCGCTGCAGGAGTAGCTGGGCTGTCCTGACTTGTGGGTAACAGGAATTACCCAGGGTAACTCCTGACAACAACTGGGTAAGAGATTCAGGTTGTAGTACCGCGACCTAGAAAGATCCAGATGGAAAATTAAGCAGTCACTGGGAAATTCTGCCAATCTGAAAGCAGCAATATCTAAGCACAAGTCTGGTGCCAGGCAGATGACAGGAGGCATCTCCTATGACCTTTCCACAGCCTGTGATTGAATCCTGTGTCGCCAAAGTACACCTCTTTCCTGCTATTTATCGACGCACACTGCCCAGGAGCCATCGGGGCTGAGTGCCAACGCAACAGGCTGCTCTTCTGTAAAAAGGAAACACATTCAAGGGTGCTTCTCGGAGGACAGTGACCTTTGAAGGACTATGGTGTCAGGGGCTTGCCTAAGGACTTTAGTGAGTGACCTCTTTGATGCCTCAGTGGCTGTATGAGACGGGTGCCACCTCTGCACAGGAGCTGTGGGTGCTGACCCACAGAGATGGATGGAGCTGAGTGCCTTCAAGTTGAGGCTTATCTTGGCTGGCATGATCTGTGGGTGCAGGCAGGGCTTTCTCTGGAGAAGGGGCCACGAGTGGCTGGTGGGAGTTCTCCACACCCTGTTCTGCACCTCCAGCATAGACACGGACAGACAGACAGACGGACAGATGGACGGACTGGGCAGAAGGATGGAGGCTTTACCCTTGGCTGAAAGCCCACCCTCGCGCCCTCTCTGGTGGCTGCCTCTAGGGAAAGACGCAGAGTGAGAGACGCACAGAGCAGGCTTCTTTTCAAAGAGGTCTCTCCGCAGACAGAGCCGATGGGAGGGGACAATCACGCCTACTCCCATGACACTGCTTCACTACCGATGCCTTGAAAACCGGTTGCAAAAATGAGCAGTGAAAGGTCACCTGCAGCACAATAGTGCCATGAAATCACTTGTTTACAGTTTACTTCTTGCTATTAAGAAAAAGTACAACACAATTTAGTTAAAAGAGAAAGCCTGCTTCATGGACTGAGCACCAGATTTAAGGTTTCTGCTGAACCAGAGGTTACAATGCACACAAGTGGTGCACACACTGACGGCAATGGTCATCAGCAATCCGGGAGAAGGCACTGAACCAAGGGACAAGGGACCCTCTGGCAAAGTGATGAGCTTTGAGATCTACGCAAAAGGGCCTCCAAGCCTCGTGTAAAAATCCTATGTGGTTTTCAATGGGCAGCAACTGGTTTTATTTTTATTGTTTAATTATTTTAAGCTTTGAACTGTGAATTGTATGACAGTTTCCAGAACAGATCAGTTTTCCACTCAACCATGGGCACACACTTAGTTTCATGTCATTGACTACAATCCCTACAGGGCAGCATCACTTAGCCCCCATCTCCATTCCTCCTTTGTAACTTCATCCTAGAGTAAATGCGGCCCTTTTGATACCAAATGTTTGTCTTTTCAGTCTATTTTTCCATGGACTTTTTGAAGCACCTCATATTTACCTGATATAACATAATGCTTACCTACAAACTCATACAATGCTTCAAAAAGCCTCAAGCTTAAAATTCAAAGTAGAACTAGACAGTAGAGAAATGTTTTATTGTCTTGGTGAACAGACTAAACAAACACACACAAATATAAAGACAAGCATATGCATGTGTGCACACGCACGCACGCACACATATGCAAACATACCCACACATGCAAACACAAAGGCCCACATGTGCAAACACATGCACAAATGTACACAAGCACACACAGATACACACACAAACAGAAACTTGCACATGCAGACACATAAGTACACACAAACAATGCATACACCGGGGTGCACAGGCAGGCATTCACCTCAGGTATGGCCAAATCAAACCAAACCCTTCCCGCGGAATCCACACAAAGAAGACTATCTGTTGTTAACACGTGGCTCAAACCCTTGCAAATGGGCTGTCGTTCTACATCTCGCTGAACACCCCTTTCATTTATTCTCACATAAAACCTTTAAAGTTACAGCATGATTCTTTTCAAAATGTCATTTTTTAAAAAGCTTCACAGTGTTCTGTAGGTGTGCAGGATATAGCCTAGCTTAAACATCCATTCAGTGTTAGACATTTCACTTTTCTTAAAGTTTCAATCAGTAATAAGTCTGGGCACTGTGCAGACTTGTGCTCAGTCCTCATTGCCTTATGAGAAGCTTTCAGCTAAAGTGCTGGATCCATTCTGAAGGTCTTGGAATGGTGGCCCCAGTTGCCCTCACAAGGATGGGGTGATGGCTACGGCTATGGCTACACTACAACCACAGCCATGCACACAGCAGATGGGACCCCACCTCAATTCCCACCGCCAGCCTAGACGCCCACTGACATTTCACAAATTTCCTAGTCACGTTCCCTGCAAATCTATTTTCATGTCTCAAATCCAGCCTCTGTTCCCAAACTTATCAGACTTTCCACCCCGTGTAGAAAACAAATGGCCCCGTGTCCCAGGCAGTTAGAAATGCGTGTGCTGCTGCCCATCACCCAGAGCAAAGTGCAGGCTTCTACTTCAGTAGGGCCCCAGTCATCCCAGCACTGCTCCCCAGGAGGGTGGTATGGCCCACTCTGGGAAGCACTGGTCTGCATGAAGAGGAGTCACCGAATATTCTTGAACTTGATGTTAACACAGGCTGCTACACAAGCCAGCCCGGAACAATGTCTCCTGTTCTAGGAGCCTTCTGCAACCCCATCTTCCAGCTCTCCGACACACTGAGAAGTGCGTGCCTGAGAAGAGAAGAAGCCGAACCAGGCAGAGGGGTCCACAGCTGCTGCTCAGAAACTGTCTGCTGAGGCTGTGTTGGGGTGGAGAGGGTGGGTGTCACTGTTGCACTGTGATCACCCCACGCTGAGGCTGTGCTGGGGGGGAGGGGGGATGTCACTCCTACGCTGTGATCACGCCATGCTGAGGCTGTGCTGAGATGGGGGGCAGGCCTCTATACTCAGAAGCTTGCCATCTGACCTACTGATCTTAGGTTCGTCAACCCCTGTAGCTGTGAGTCAGGAGAAAACTCCAGCTGAGTATCTGACCCATGAACTTGGAACGTGCCCACCTCTACAACTGTGTGAGCCACTTCCTTGATATAAACCTGTGTGTGTGTGTGTGTGTGTGTGTGTGTGTGTGTGTGTAAGCAGTGGACAGCTAACAACAAGACTGAGAGTTCAAACCCACCAGCTACTCTGAGGGTTAAAAGGATGAGGCTATCTGTTTCTGTAAAGATTCCCAGTCTTAGAAACTCTACACAGAATAGCTGTGAGTCGGAATGGACTCAAGGGCCTGAGTGTGTGTATATACACACACACACACACACACACACACACACACACACACTGACTGGGTTTGCTTCTCTAGAGAACACAGCCTAAGACAACAAACAACAAAACCCAAGGCAAGTTTTGAAATGGAAACATTCAATAATAAGTACCAATTGCTTTTCTAAACCCTCTCTATCTTGAGCCGTCAGACAGAGACTGTCTTACTGACCAAAGGCACATTGCCCGTCAGGAGCCACATGGATCTGAGCCTGCAGGCCTGCTCCATCGCTCCCGCTCAGCTAATAGAGGGTGCCTAGGTCAGGCTGCCCGTTCAGTCCATCCAGAGCCAGCAAAGGACTGAGGAGCCACCCGGGTCCTGGGACTCGGCTGGCACCAGACTGCTGCCACACTTTCTCCAGGGCGACGAGGAATAAGACTGCAGAGGTCTTCAAAACCTTTCACAAAAATTCCATGACAAACAGTGGCAATATCATGTTTTCAAAATCTGATCAGTTTATCTGTTCACAATCTCAGTTCTTAAATATCTTAAGTTAAGACATTTAATCATTTAACTTAAATGTTAAAAGTCTTTTTCTTTTACCAGAGGAGTCCAGTATGTGTAGAGATAGCCTATTTTCAGGGCTGGCACAAACTGTGAGCAGGACACTACCAGAAAATAGAGGTTCAAGAAAAACTTGAATTGTTCATATAAAACCTAAAAAGGAAAAGAGAAAATTAACACAAATCTACAAGGGGCGCCATTTCAAGCAGATCACCCCCTTTAGCAAGCACCAGGTCGGGCCATGATGCCAGCAGTGAGCAGCGTTGGCAATGGCTTGCCCAAAGCGACCTTACACTCCAGGGTCCTTCAGAAAGTTCACCACCTCCCAATTCCATTTCCCCAGGAGCTTTCTGAAACCTCCTCATGTGAAGTAATAAGTTTACCCCAACAAAGAACAAACTGAAGAAAAAAGAGCAATTCTAGCTTGCAAGTACTGTAAAAATGTACTCTTAGATTTAGTGGTCCATTTTCTTTTGACATTTCCCCTCCACTCACCTCCACGACGCTCGGCATGCACATGTCGAAACAACCCAGAGCCAGTCCCTCCCCGATGTGAGCAGTGCAGTCGGTCTGCAGAGACACACAGTGCCTCCACACCCCGACTCACCCATGTGACCAGGGAACAGCAGCTAACAACCTCACTTCATGAAATAGGGAGAGCATTGTGGTTCGCGGCTTGGTTCTTTCAAGTATAAAATCATGTTATCCTCAATAAAATTCCAGAAACGTCAAAACTACAGGCTTGGATTTCTAATTCAAATAAGAGTTCTTTTTAAGGATGGAAAGTCAAGATCTTCTATAAAAATCAATCTCTGTCAAAAAGTCCCAAAGTGCTAGATTGAAACTGGAAATGGAAATGGTAGAGGGTCGGGCTGGCAGACTCGCCAAAGTCGCCAGCCTGCAGCTCGCACAACTGCACCTCATCTCCTTCCCTCACAGGCCTTCTGCGCAGAGCGGGGCGGCCCGGAACCCCAAGTGGAGAGTGGAAGGGTAAGTGCTCGGCACAGACTGAGGGCTTCTGGAAGCAGAGCTTTCACAGACTGAAGTTATTTGCATCATCACAGTTACATGTGTGATTGAAAAATCGCTTACATTGATAACACGTTTTTTAATCATAATCATGTTCAATTGCTGCCTAAAAATGTTTTGAATTATTTCATAAATTAATCTCAGCAGGAGAGAAAGCGTTCTTTTTCCTCGCGGATTTCTTTAAAATCTCAGTTAGCATAAATTATATCTATTAGCAATTCAGAAATTGCCATTCATGCTAAAAATGGAATAGAATTCCTACTGTGCAATTACCAAATGTTTCTAAAATACTACATTCTAGATGAAAAGACTAATTTAAGAGACAAGCTACGTTCTACAGACAATGCCCAGGTGCGTCAGGGCCCAGCGGTCACAGAAGCCAGCCAGCCGTGAGATGCCTCTCTGGCCTTGCACTTCAGACGCCCACCCCTGCCCTGCCACTCCATGTGCCCTGCGACCACTTGGGAAATGAGCCAGGCTGCCCCCTCTGTGAGAAGGCAACCATTTAAGCCTGAGGAGAACACAGCTTCATTCCACCGAGATAAGAATGCGGATCTGCCTGACAGGTTACCTTTCATGGTCCTGCCAAGAGATGAGCCTCTTAATGATGAAGCCATTAGTTCTGTGTGTTTTCATAAAGACACATATTCGATATCAAGCATTTGCCAACTACTGGATGGATGGAGGGAAAAAAATCAATGCCCAATATAAGGTCAGCATAATTATTTAAATTAAAATATAAAAGATAAATCAGCCCTCATTCCAAGTAATCAGAGCTTCTCTGGAAATGGAAACAAGGCCAATACCTGAGCACATTAAAAATGCTGACGGAGAAGCACCATCAGGCCAGCTCCCTTTGCTGGGAAGAGAGGGAAGCCTGACCAGGAAAGAAAGACCATGGCGCTCCACGGTTGCACACATGGAGGGAGGTTCAGGTGGGACTCCAGCCAGAAATAGCATGGCAACAGAAAAGGATGAAAATCATTAGGCTTTCAGATTTAAATCGAGCATAAACAGCTCATTATAGATAACTAATGACACCACAATAGAGGCACACCTGAAATTTAAATTTAAAAGAAGACATCTAGAAATGTCTCCACGTTCTAGTTATTTTTGCTTATTTATTAGGGGTAGTAAAAATAGCTCGACTTTGAGTATAAGGTCCCTTGGCCAGCTTTCGGCACCACACTCTCACCTTTCCTTCATTCAGACAAAACGGATGGCTCCCCCTTGGCTTCCCCCCACTATCTCCACGGTGCTCCTCAAGAGCTGGGCCCACCAGTCAATTTACGATGGCTCCCAGCAGGACACCTACTCGACTCGCCAGACCTGGTGAGCCAGGGGCGAGGTTGGCCAACAGTGGCTAAGCAAGGCTTCTTCTTCAGGACAAGCGGAAGCTGGCACAATCTTACCCCAGGAATAAAGGTAAACACGTTGTATTTTTGGTTTTTTATGGCATTTCTGGGATGTTTTTCTTCACACTTCTCAGGACACCCGAGCCACACGGTGCGTGCCTTCAACTGCTTCTTCCTCTGACAGACATGGGCCAGCCAGTCACAGCAACTGCAAGGAACGAAAGAGAGTATGTGCGTGTGTGGCTGGCCCCATGTTCCCAGTGCGAGGGACCATCTCTGGGGATACCAGCAGCTTACCCAGTGCTCTCTGTGGGGTCCCCTTAGACGGGTCAGTCACATAAATGCGTACCTGATGTGCACATACAGGAAGAGCCTGAACACTGGGCTTCCAGGACCTCGGGAAATGCTCCCCCCAAGGAGCCGCTCCTGCAGGGAAGCTGCCAGTGCCCTACCCACCCACCCACCACCCCAAGCCCGCAAGGGGGGCAGGTACAGTGACGGGCCCTGGTGATTCTCAACATGATGCAGTGTGCACTGCGACAAAGGCGCTTGGGCAGCAATCAATCCAGGTTCTGACCCCCTCTCTTCTCTGCAATGGCCACTTCCCACCGGTCAAAGGAGGGCTTTTCTGGCTGTACTAACACAACATTCAGAATTCCAGCTCAATTCTGCGCTTGCAAAGAGTACTGCCATTTGATGTACCAGCCATGCGACAGCATATCCAAACCATGGAAAACTGGATGTCACTCATCTAGCCCCATCAAAAGGCCACCATTCCCAAAGGGACACTAAGGCTACCATCACTAAATAGCCACCGTCACCTCACTCCGCAAATGTAGCACGTCTCCTTTCATACTACGCAGCCAGTGTTGGGCCATCACTGTACCCAGCAGGCCCTTTGGTGACCAAGCCAACAGCAGATAGCTCCCACTCAGGACAATGGCCCCATGGAAATGCCAAGTCACAGCCATGAGTGGGGCCCAGTCTTGTAAGGATGAGACCATTGAAGACCAAAGAGCCGTGGCACAGCGATGGCAATCCAACACACAGAGGGAAAGCATGGGCTCCGAGGGGCCTTCCCCAGAACTCAGGGCCACGGAATGGGGAGAGAACATGGGTCTTCCTATGCCAAACAGCCTGAGAAGTTAGAAAACTGACTTGAAAAGCAGCTTCCTGCTCCCAGAATCTGCACAAAAACACAGAAATCTTTGCAGCTCACCAAGGCTGGCTATGACAGTGTCAACACTTACAAAGGGTAAGAGACCTCAACCCCCAAACTAAAAGCTTAGCAAAAACCCAGAGGTGAGACCAATCTAGGTTAAGTGTACTGTCTGGCACACGGGTGTTTTTGCTCCAGCACCTAGTTTCAAATGCCTTCATTAAGTAAAGGACACATCACAGTGAAATCCAAAATCTGGCTGTCATGTTCCATGGGTAAAAACAGAATCCTGTTAAAACTGAAAATTAACATTGTATGCAGCACTAGGACAAGGTGGATAATACTCAGGACTGCACCTTTTGGCCCCTGCTGAACTGGTGAGGAGCCTTGGAGGTGCAGCTGCGAGGTACCGGCTGCTCATTGGAGGGCTGGCGGTTTGCTCAGAGATGGCAGCATGGGCACGCGGGGGCACTCTTCCTTACTGCTGGGCTGGCTCACGCAGATCAGAAAGGACTGAGCAATGCCCGACAACCCTGGCTCATCGGCTGGGTCCCACTTCCAAGCCATCTGCTGCCCCTCAAAGTCCATTCCATTAGTTCACCCTGTCCACACCTGCCTCATTAGTGCCCATCAGAACCCTTGCCCACCTTCCTCCTTAGCCAGGTGTGCCCATATCAGCTGTGGTTGTCCTAGAGCCCTCCAGAACTGCCTAGCACCAGAGATATCCCAATTAACAAATAGCTCAGGTCCCAAATAATACACACACACACACACACCCAGGACTAAGAAACACCTTGATCCTTCACCCTCTCACTCCCCATGTCAGTACCACCGCACAGGTACAGCCAGGCACTCACCACACACAGTCCCACTTAAAGGCCACCAGTCCATAGTCTTCCTGTGACCTCAGTGTCCTCCTCAGATGTAGGGCGCTGCTGCTTCAGCCAGCCATCCCACGGCTGCCTCCCTTCCACACTCACTAACAGCCAGCCTCCAGGTCAGACACCACTACCACCATCAGGGTGATGGGCGGTGCCACCCAACATTCCTATACTCAAGATATCACATTAACCCACAGCCCTCACACCAGCACTGGCCAGCCCACCCTCTAGCTGACACCTTACACTGATAACGGTGAAAGGCTGACCCATCTTCCCCAGGACCAGGACCAGGACCAGGACAGAATGAGGAGGGACGAGCTGTAATTGTGCCACTGCATGTTCCAGTCAGCCCCGAGGGCCAGAGAAGGAAGGGCGCACGCTCCCCCTGCTTGCAGGACCCTCCCTCTTCACAGGATGCCAGCGTAAATGCTCCCACACCACTCTCAGGAAGCACAAGTGAGCCTAGCAAGGCTGCAGAAGACAAGATCAATCCACAAAAACCAACCATGTTGCTATATGTTAGCAGTGGACATGCGGAAACCAAAATTAAAAATGTCTTTCTACTCAGAATCTCTTGAACATTGAAATGGTCAGTAATGAATCAAACATGGACAGGACATGCGTGCCTAGAACTGCAAGACACAGGCTGAAGGCCTGCAGAGTGTCGAGGCACTGTCTGGAAGACTTCCCATGATCCAGGTGTCAATGCCCGCCCCAATCAATACATAGGGCTAACCCAAGCCACAAGGAACATGCAGATACGAACCGGATGGCTTTACAGTGGCAAGGGTGAGACACGCGGGCCATTTTGAAAAGGCAGCAGAGTGTGGAGGATTAGCAGACACAACGGGGACCCCGCATCAGGCTCCAATCTCCGTGCCCATGCAGGCAGCGTAGGTCACTCTACCACAGGTGGACCTAGATCTCTCTCTGGGTCAGTCAGCTGGAAACACTTAATGCAAGTCCAAGCATTAAAGCTGTCTAATAGGAGCTGCAATAGCCTTAACATTAACTTGAATTTGTATAGGCCCCTGACGTAACTCTGTGGATCAAGGTGCAATTATAAATGGAAGAGAAACACCACTTAGGAACGTCAACACGGTGACCAAATAAACCCTGCTTTGCTTTCATTCTCCAGAGGATCACTCATTTTCCCCTTCTGTAAGGCACTAAAACTTCTCATAAACAACAAGCTGAGTTCTCCCTCCCTTCTAGACTAGCATTATTGTATGACTGGCATTATGAACATTCTCCATGATGTCATTTACAAAGTGCCATCTTTGGTTTGACTGAAAAACTTGACACGCTAGAAGAAGAATCACACTTATAGGGAGGTTTCCACAGGTCCACGAAGAATGTCATTACTTTTCACATCATTTCCCCACACACATGCTGAGGCCCCCTTGAGTGAGCACCGTGGGCAGGCCAGCCCTGTGTGGTGAGCGGCCAGTGATAGAGTGATAGCCTCCCTTGTTTGACAGGAGGAGGAACCTGCAGGGAGAAGGAGTTGGGAGACAGCCGCTGAGCCCATGCTCCCAGGGGTCGGGGTGGGGTCGGGGTCGGGGTCGAGGCCGAGGCCGGGCACAAACCTGGTGCAGAGGGACCTCCAGCCGCCACAGACCAACCACTCCAGGCCTCGCTTTCTGCGCGCTACCCTGGCTCGCGGCAACGTGTGGTAATCGCTTTCATCGTTCTCAAACCCTTCTTCAGACATCATCAGAGGCATTTCATCCAAATGGGCGGACTCGTCCTCCAGCTGGTACCTGGTTAGTGCAGGAAGAGTTCTGTGGTGACGCTGTTTCACTCTGGGGCACTAAGTGAGCTTTCCCCTCACTCTCAGTCCCGAAGGGCCCTGGAACTGGGCTCAGTGGGGCTGTCCGCTTTGCAGTTAGCACAAGGGCACAGCCAAGGGCCAGGAAGGGCCAACTGCCCAAGGAGCCACCAGCAAGCCTACATGCAATCACGTGGGAGGCCTAGGTTGGGGTGGCCAGCACACCTGACAAGGCTGCCAGTGACACCCAAGGTACTTAGTTCAGCAACCCAGGTCAGACACAGTCTGAAATACCCCTAATAGCACCCCCGCTCCATTCCCCAGACACGTACTGTGTAAGCACTCACTCACTGTGTGGCAGCATTCGCCAGCACCTTTGACAAGAGGACGCTGTCTTTACACTGAAAGGCAGGGCCGCAGTCCCTATGCCCCAAGTGTTCTTTCCCTGTCTGGCTTTTACTCTATCCCACAAACCTCCCCCACCACCAGCACGCTGCTGGGCCCACAACCCTCGTCGAGTCCCAGGTGACAGCCTGCATCAGCACGGCCCCCTCACCCTTCCTTTCTTCGACCACAAACACAGGTCACCTTTTAAACTAAAAACGTGCCTTTTGGAGGAGCGGCCCTGGTGGGTGTGGTGGTTAGGCACCCAGATTCTAACCCAAAGGTGAGCTCCCTGGGAGCAAAGGCCCAATGACCCGCTCATACCCACCCAGGGCCCCAGATGCCCGTTCTCTGGGGCTGCCACTCAGGGTCACTGTGAGTCAGAAGCAGCAGGGTGGACGACACTCAGAACCCCCACTGGGAGGTGGCCATAGGTTAGAAGCCCTGTGGAAACTCAGCAGGCGCTGCCTCATGTAATCCAACATTCCCTTGGGGGGAGGGGAGGTGACAGGGGACACAGACCTACAGTCTTCAGAAGGCACCCAATGTGACCCACCACCAAGAGTTACTCACTCCCCACTTTAATTTGCATGCAAGAGGATTTCCAGTAACATCTATTTGCAAAGAACTTTTCTCTGTAGTCTAATTGCTATATCACTGCCGTCGCCTCAGAGAGACACTATAGCACAGGGAGAGCTGCCCCTGTGAGTTTCCAAGACAGCAATTCTTTACAGGAGGAGAAAGCCCGGACTTTCTCCCGTGGAGTAGCTGGTTTGGTTTCAAACTGCAATTAGCAGCCCAATGGGTAACCACGACACCAGCAAGGCTCCTACACAGCAAGGCTCCCCAAAGACAAACCAAGCTCACTGCCACCGACTCATAGCAACCCTCCCCCATACTGCTTATCGCCAGATTCCAGGTAGGATGTAGAGATTATAGCCACAGCCCTAGATACAGCCGGCAGTGAGCCCTGCCCCCACCAGGTGGCAGGTTCACGGAGACTGAGAGCCGGCTCCTGTGCCTGCCAGGACAGGTGCTGTGGGTAACACAGATGCCCCACCTCCTGGGCACGGAGCAGGCCGTCTCGGCTTCGCCCTCCCTGGGCAGTAGCAGGCTGGAAGCCTGGTCAGGAGGCTTTGACCAGGGAGGGATGTTTCTGTTTTCACAGAGGACTTTTAGAATATGCAAATTAAAACAAGAGGAAAGCAGGTCTTGTTTATCAGTTGGAAAAAAAATCATTTTTAACACTCAGTCTTGGGTGAACAGGCATTCTTATCTGCTGATAAGAATGCAACAACCTCTCTAGCGAATGATTTGTTAAGAGGTAGCAAAAGCCTTTAATTAACGTGAATGAACTTCCACTCCAAGTCTGAAGTGTCCAAAGGACGTGAACAGCGTGCACAGACCCTGGCCACATAGCATGGACTGTGCAGTGCAGTCCCAAAGAGCCCGGCACTCTCACATGGGGACCCTTGTTTCCAGGGCCGGGTCCCGGAAGTGCCCTTCCCTGGCCTCTCACTCGAGCACAGGTGCACAGTACCTGCATACACTTCAGGCCAAAAAGGGCCCAGGGAATGCGTATCTGCAAACAGCAGGGTGCTATCTGCTCCCTTAAACATTCCTTTTTGTAAGACCTTGTCTTTTAAAACAGCCAAACAGCAAATGGATTTTTATACAAAAATGCAATTAAAATGGAAAGCGACCATACACAAAATGAGCATGTTAGCCTCGTTCATTAAGTTCTCCCCATGATTTTGTTCCGTTCAAGAGAATGCAGTCTTCTCCAGTTCGAGGCTGGGGGCCCCCGCCGGTGCACCCTGGCTCGAGAAGACAATGAGCGTCAGCGGGTGTCAGGAACCCTGGGTGCCAAGAAGGAGCCTGTGAGCTGGCAAGCAAGTTATTCCATTTCCAAAGCAATTTTCCTATTGTATTGAAAATGTTACCTCAGTATTGAAAAACAGTAAGATGATGAATAATGGATTTTTGCAGAGACAGGATAAGCACGGAATCTTAAGTGTCTTTGTTGCCCGGTGTCATACACACTTAATTGGTTTGTCACTCAAGAAAAGTCAACGTTTCCAGCAATTAAGTATAATTCTGGAAACATATTTTTAAAACGAGTGAAAACAATGTGAACAAAGCCGACAGACGAGGCGTTCGAGTGGAGCGCACCAGTGCTGAGGAGTGGGGAAGGCAGCCGGCGCGGCCATGGGGACAAGCAGGAGCAGTCGTGCCACAAAACCAGGCGGGAGGCACCTGCCTACATGGCCTGCCGCAGGAAAGTGGGTCCCCACAATAAGGGGCGGCCAATGTCGTCTTACACTCAGTATCCATTGGCTTCACTGAAACGTTTCTGAAAACTCAAGCGATGATAAAGGGGAAATACATTTTAGATATGCCTAACCCTCAAGCCTCTTTTAAGAAAACATGTCTCCTTCACCTGCATGTTAACAGTCAGAAATAGACACGGCTCTCCTTCTTGGATCAGACATAGCTGCAAAGTCAACAGGACCTTGGGGGGTCAGCAGCAACCCAGGGGGAGCCTGTGACCTAAGCACAGCACAGAGGGGGACGGGGCCTCCTGCAGCCGAAGGGAGACTTGCCAGGAAGTGGTCAAAGAAGGAAGGGAGCAGAGGCTGGGACAACACCCGGGGCTCAGTGGCAAAACCAGGCTGGGGGGACGGCCAGCAGAGAGGTACTGGGAGGGCAAGTCAAGAGTGGTGGCCAGTGTTCCAGCACATGTACGCTAACTAGCATGTACACCACAGAAAATGTGGCGTATGCCTGTCTTAAGCATGCCTATGACCAGGATGACTGCAGGAAAGCTCTCATGAATAATAAATAGAAGGTCCAATCAAACAGTGGCTTCCGAAAGGATCTGTTTGGGTCAGCTAGGAGGGTCTGGGGGTTCTAACGAGGTAATCCTGGCAGACCCAAGACCGTCAAGGGACCTATTTGGAGCTTTAAGAAGCCAGGAAACCGCTACAAATGCTACAAGGGCCAGGAAAGTTGCACCGAGGTTGCCACCCCGACAGTGGGCTGCTCATTCTCAGAGGGAGGGAGCCGGAGCCTTCCTGTCAGATTTCACTGGCCAGCCTGATGCTGCCCACCCTACAGCCCTAATCTGACCCCTGCAGACTTCTTTTTGTTCCCAAACTCAAGGAACGTATAAGAGGAACACAATGTGAGTCCTGTTAGGATGCCAAACCTCCCATCTTGAGGTGTGCAAACTGAATGGTGCCATTTCTTCAGGAGGGTTAGGAACAGAAGGGCCACCTTCAGAAACACGGGCCTAGATTGAAGATATGTTGAGAAACATTTGCTTCACATTTTGAATTATTTAAAACAAAAATTTCTGACTTTGGGACAATATTTTTTTACCCATCCTTATGCAGTATCCATAGCTATCCTTATTGAAACCTAAACCCATTTCTCGACGTGAGGAACTACACCAAGTCTACATGTAAACTGGGAGACACTTCCAATAAGAGATTAGGGTCCAATGTCCCATACTGTGTACATGCATAGGCAGGCCGTGAATATATACAGACCATCAGCTCAGGACACAATAACTGCCTGCCTACATGACCCTCTCTCTCGTCAAGCCTGGCTTCATGGCAGCACCGCCAGCTGTCGCAGTAATTAAAGGAACACTTCTGTAGGTGAACCGTGGACCCCCTTTTCAAGGAAATGCTCGTTCCTCCATGAATAAACCAGAGTCATTGCTCAATTCTGAGGCACAGCGGCCTCTGGGACCAGCAGGGGGTGCCCGGTCTCAAGGCAGAAGCAGACCGCCACACCTTTCCCCAAGGAGCGGCTGGAGGGCTCAAACCAATGGCCTTTCAATGCAGTCAATGGCTTCACCGCTGTACCGCCAGGGCGTCCCAAAATTCTGGCAGACCCTAGAAATGCATGATTCCAAGGCATCGTAGGCAATTTGAAAAAACATTCTTTAGAATCACCCTGAACTAGTGTGCGCGCGCACGCACAACTGTGAAGAACTACGAAAAGGAAAGGCACTGCCTGCTGAGTAAGGCAGTCCTTACTAGGCCAAAACTGTAAAGGTAAAAGCCCATGCCAAAATGAGCACTGAAAAATAGCATGACCTCTATGAGACAGACACGCGTTTTCACATGCCTTCAGACATACTCTTTCCTCTGCTTTCAGCACAAACCTCTTTGGATCCAGCATGGTGGACAAAGGGGGCCTAGGACACTATGCAGGACTCCGTGCAGGCAGCGGGCAACCACAGTCAACAAGGCACAGGACGGGCACGGGAGAGTGCAACCAGCTAGACGGCTTGCCCGCTCCTCACTCGCCCAGCTGCAGAGATGACCTCTACAATGCTACTCGCATGGGAACAAGGCATCACACTTATTTGCCAGGCAATGAAGAAATCGATGTTTCACTTGCATGTCTAGGAAATTATCTTGGCTAGGCAGTGCCCTGCCGAGAACGAGTAAGTGCTTGGAGTAGCACATCTATGCACAAAGTGCATGTAAAACACGGGCATCACCATCCACCAGGACAAAGCCAACAGTGTAATTTCAAACATTTATTAAACCATACATCCAATCAAATGAATGTGTGGGGAATTTTCATAAAGCC